AGTGGGGAGTCAGGCCAGCTGTGCCAGTGTTGGGGTAGCAGACACACACAGGCCTAGGGACTGTTCTGTAGGTTCATGCAAGTGGAGCTGTGTCTTTAATTAAGCTTATTGCTAGAGCATAGAGGTGTAAGATGAAGAAATGTAAGTGGAATGGTGCTCATTCAGTGAGTTTTGGGGTTCCAATAAGGATTTTTATATACATATGCTCTTGTCCAAGTGTTGGTGGCCGCCCTCCCTCTGTTTGAGCTGGGTACTTCTTTCAGGGTGTACTCTGCCGGACACAGCAAAGTTTAAATTCCGGACAGGCAGGCGAGGAGCACAAGGTGTACTCACCCCTGTGGCTCAGGCCTGGCCAGTTTTCTGAAGTCTGATTAGTGACAATATTAACACTAATCAGCCTTCAGAAAACTGTGACATCAAGCCATAGCTTGCGTGTTTTTCTTCACTAGTTATTTTGTCTTTCCACCCTTATTCAGCTGTTTCCCAGTTGGTTTTGCTCTTTATCTGCCTCCTAGACTAAAAGGAGAAACAAAGCTCCTTGAGGTTTGGGTTAATAGATGCTTGGCCGGTGGCTGCGGAATTTCTGTCTCCCTTTCCTCCCAATGCAAACCCATCACAGAAGTTATGAATCATTTTAATAGAAATGTGAAACACCACAAAGTGGAGACCATTCGGATCATTGCCACTTATCCTGAGTCAGTGTCTCCGAAGACTCCTGCTTCCTCAGCCCCCACAGCCCCTTCCCCAGGGATCACGCTGCCATCTGCTTCCCTCTGCACAGAGCCTTCCCTGCTGCGCTTGTGCTGCGGCACCCAGGGACTCCGCAGGCTGTCAGGTAGAGAGGCTGGGTGGTCATCTCAGGAAGCTGGCGCAGTGTGGGAAGGCAGGTGCTAGACACTGCGCTGGTAGAAAACCCAAAAGGAAGAGCTCCATCCACAGACATCTTTCCATTTATAGGAGCCTCAGAAGTGTGTCAGGTTTTCCTCCCTGCACCCCTCCTTTCTCAAGTCCTTGTAGGAAGATAACTGTCTCAGTTACTTTTCTCTCATTGCCGAGACAAAATACCCATCACCCAAAATGAAGGAAGGAAAGGTTTATTTAGCTCATAGTTTGTGGAGGTTTCAGTCCATGTTGAGCTGGCTCCAAGGCAGGGTGGCATGGCACAGGGGCAGCACTGCAAGGTGGCAGAAGACAGAAACAGTGGGAGAGTAGGTCCCTTCTCCTCCCTTACATTGGAGGTAGGCTACCCACCCTCAGATGTTTGTTTGTTTGGTTTGGTTTGGTGTTTTTTTTCCCCCAGAACCAGGGATTGAATCAGCCCCTTGCATTTGCCAGGGAAGCACTTATTCTACTGAGCCATCTCCCTGACCCCCACCCTTAGATGGGTGCAATACCTACACCATCTCCTTGTCCTCCCCTTGCACAGGCTCAGGATGTCTACAGAGTGAGGACCCTGGCCTCCGAGTCTTTAGTTAAACTTCTAAACTTCTCTAGTTGACACAGTGTATCAACCATGATGATAACTGAAGTCATTACCAGGTAGTGAATACTTAATTCTGTTTGACCAAAACAGTCCTCATTTTTTTCTTTTCAGTGAACATACAGAAGTTGGAGGTGTGCTTCTCTTGGGCAGCCAGTGCAGCTGACAGTCTGAAGGAAGCTACATCGCTAATTCTGCAAGCTTTTCAGTTAGCTGTAAACCCCTCATTCTCATTTTGGATAAATCTGTCTGTAAACACAATCCACAGCATGTTGTGGGTGCAGTTTTAGTCACTTACTGTTTTTTTTTCAATAAAATAAAATCAGTAACCATGTGTATTCCTAAGATGGGTAACATAATTAAATAGGTAAATAAATAAGTTTGGGGCTAGTTTACATGAACTTGAGTTAACTTTGGTGGCCAACATGGTTTTTCATTTTACAGAATCTCATGGAACTTCTGGATGAAAAACTTGACTTCATTCCTCTGTCAGATCTAAATAATAAGAATGGTGCTAAAATTTAAGTCTTCTTCAGCCAACATTTTGGCCTTAGCTTTTCAAGGTCAGTGAGGACTCAGAACATAAAAGAACCTGTACTGTAATGTCCTGTAACTCAGTGATGTTCCAAGTTCTCTGATCAAGGAGATTACGGGGCCACAGAGGAAAGTGATCAACGATGTAGAGTGTGCCTAAGGAGAGTCACCTGGAGAGAAAACATTCTCAGGTTTTCACAGAAAGCAAATTGGTCAAGCAATGGCCGTGACTCATCCACATGGCTGACACTGACAAAGGATCTACAGACTGCTGTACAGGGTTTCAGGGTCAATCCTGAGGGGATTTGACTGAACTTGTCAGATACAGAAGTTACATTTCTTGTTATATAGGTCTTGCTTTATCTTGGTCTTAAACATCCAGCAGAAAAGTATCATAATGAGGTATGAAAAGTAAAGCCATATTAATATGCTGAGCTGTGAAGGGCTCAAGTCAGCAACTTCTGACATTGCCAGTCCTCCGAATAACCCACTACTATCATGAACTACTGGAATATATTAGATTATTTTGTTGAATTCACATACCTACAATATTTAAATGGTAATAGAATACCCATCTCTGACAAAACTAAACAAAAAAAGGGGATACAAATAAAGGACCATTTTGTATCTGTATATACAAAGTAGTTAGGATAGATATACAGCTACTTTCTCTTAATTCAGTGAGAAGAAAGATTTGTACTGACAGTGTTTGGACAGGATATCATGTCTGCCTCTTATACTATGAATAACCACTACAAAGAGAACAATATGCAATGTATTAATTATTGACACTGTCCTATTAATAGGTTTTGAAACTGTCTCATTGCTATTTGTTTCTCAATAAAATTAATAAAAAAGGTTAAGTCTTCTTGTACTAATGCCCATCAGGTCAGATCCTAGGCCTCCCTCTACCTCCCCTTTAGCTCCTGGCAGGAGATATGTGCAGAGAGAATAGATGAATAAGTTCCAAATCAATGGTCATCTGAGATGAACATACACTTCCCAGAGGAAGAAATATAAATGGCAAGTAAATATATGAAAAGATGTTCAACATTGGTCATTTGAGAAATGCAAATTAAAACAACACCGAAATTCCATCTCAGCTGGGAAAAAAATGGCTATTATCAAGAAATCAACCATTAACAAATACTGGCCAGGCTGTGGAGAAAAAGGAACCCTCCTCCACTGTTGGTGGGAATGTAGACTGGTGCAACAACTGTGGACCAAAACTGCACCCACAACTGTCAGTGTGGAGATTCCTTCAAAAGCTAGGATTAGACCTTTCATTCAAGCCAGCTATTCCCCTCCTGGGTATTTTTCCCAAAGTACTGAAAACTTCATACCACAGTGATATATGCGCACACATGTTCATCGCAGCACAGTTTGTCATAACTAAATCCTGGAAACAACCTAGATTCCCATCAACTGAAAAATGAATAAAGAAGATATGATATTTTTACACAATGGAGCATTATTCAGCTGTAAAACAGGATAAATTTGAGTCCTGTGTCAGTAAATGGACGCAACTAGAGAAATTGAAATAAATCAGACCTGCATGTGCAAGCATCATATTGTCTCCTTTGTATGAGAACTTGAAAGGAAAAAATGGAATCTGAAAGGTACAATAGATACTGGGAAAATGGAATTAACTTATTCAGAAGGCAAGAGTTACCAAGTTGAGGAGGACAGAAGAGGGAGTGGGGAAAGAGATTTATCTATGTATGTAAGCAGGATGGGTTTGCGCAACCGTACTGTGCATTTCTTCTGGTCTATGGAAGGGAGCAGTGAATGCTTAAGTCACTTTGTCTCCTTTTTTCAATTGCTTGTCCTTTTTCTCTTCGTAATTTCTTATACATTTCTTTGTTTTTTCTTTGTTTTCTTCTTCCAGTTTTATAGGCATAGATCTAGTAATATAAATAACTGATTGGAAGATAACACTATGTATTACAACAAACACTGTGAAATTCATATTACTTTCTTAAGTAAAATTTTCTATCACTTGTAATTTTTTCTGTTTTAATTCTAATTTGTACTCCCTTTAAAAAATAAAAAAAGTTCCAAATCCTAGCTGCAGGGCATTAGAAAAGTTTCTTTCCTTCAGTGAGCCCTTGCCTCTTTAGAAAAACATAAATTGATACAGGGTTTCTCTTAAAGCTTTCAAAAACCCTTTTCCTTAAGCACTTAAATTCTGGTACAGTATAGGGTTCAAAACAGTTTAGAGAATTTTCTCGTAGGGTGTGTGGTGGGGCATGCCTATAAAATGCCAGCACTCTGGGAGGCTGAAGCAGTAGGATTTCAAGTTTGAGCCCAGCTTGAACCCAATTTAGTGACTTAGTGAGACCGCTTCTCAAAATAAGTGGGTGTCAAGATTATCAAAATAAAGATGTGGGATACAGCTCAATTTTAAACACAGCAAATTACAGCTGGAGGTTTATACCCAGTAATCAAAAGATAGAATAGTATGAAGAGGAGACTTCCAAGGTAGGGTCACTCTTGCTAAGCCAATTCCAAAGGACTCCTGCTGAGGGAAGGTCTGGGTGATCAGTTATCATGGATGGGAGGAGGAAAAACTTGAATATTGAGGTGATGACATAGCAGGGGTGGGGGAAATTCTCACTACACTGACTTAGCAGGATTCTTACTATAACTGGACCAGGCAGACCAAACACAAGGTCTAAGGGAGAAGCCTTGTCAAAAGGAGCTTCAGAGGAGCCTTCTTACTAAAGTTTGGTCAAGAAGAGCCTTTTTCAACACCCAACAGGTTTTCCCTTTATATTACCGTGTACCATTCCTCCACCTATTCCCCTCGACAGTCTTTAAAGCAAAATAAAAGAATCATGGTTGTGGAAATTCTAGGGGGATGATTCAGACCTCAGCTGAGGAGGGTAGCGGACTACAACTCCCATAAACACTCGCAGGGCCGCCAGCCTGTTGTTCTTCCTCACTCCCACAGCCGTGCGCCTGCGCGGAAAATTCTGCGCTGAGAAGTGGGTGGGGACTGAGCTACGAACCGGGAAGAGGAGAAAGAAGAGACGAAGGGAAAAGAAAAGGGGAGGAAGGGAAAAAGAGACCATAGATTTCTCCCTCGGCCTAGAGCGGCCCTTAAAGTGCTGGGGAGCAGAGGGCGGGCGGGGACCACCCCAGAACTGGCCGCCGGCGGTATAATGGCGTCCCGGAACCCCCCTCCCCAAGGTGAGCGGCCAGGGCCCGAAGTAGCGTCTGGGACGCGGCTCACACCTCTCGACCTTGCTCCTCGGCGTGTTTTCCTCCCCCGCGCCAGGGCTCCTGGGGCTGTTTTAAAGCAGCCCCTCCGAGCTAGACTTCTGCTGTTTGTGGGAAGCTCAAGCAGAAGCGATGCCCTGCCCCCACCACAGCCCTGTGTTGCCTTGCCGTCTCCTCTGGCCTTCCTCTGCACCTTAAAACGTTCCCCCCCCTTTCCTTTTTTTTTTTTTTTTTTTGAGTCCCCCCCGCGCCCCAACTGATTTACTCTCGCTGGGCTTGTCACTCAACAGAAGGACCCAGCTCTGACCCTAATGCTACTCTGACCCTGAGATTCAAGAGGTGACCTCTCACTGCAGTATAACAATGAACTGGCCCTGGTTCGGTATCCCCAGCGGTCCGTGGGTTTTTTGGAAAGGTGATGGGGGCTTAATATGATTGCCAGGCTCTCTCCTATTGAGACCTGAGTCTCAGGAATTCAGTTAAACGCCTTAGTTTTCCTATGGACATTTTTAGCTGTAAGCCTAAAGTGACCCTGAGTTATGATTTAAAAAAAAAAAAAAAATGCATGGGACATTTTTTGACTTTCGATTGACTCAAATCATTTTTTCCATTTTGTGTTTTAAAGAATATGAAAGTGATGACGACTCCTACGAAGTGTTGGATTTAACAGAGTATGCAAGAAGACACCACTGGTGGAATCGAGTGTTTGGCCACCGATCAGGACCTATGGTAGAAAAATATTCAGTAGCTACCCAGATTGTAATGGGTGGCGTGACAGGCTGGTGAGAACATGTTTTTCATTACATTTAATTGGGACCTGGCAGTTGTCCTTTTATAAATGGGCCAGAGTTACCCTGCATATTCAGTGGGGTCAGTACTGTTAATTCAGGGGCGCATTACCTTGAGGCTGTTCTTTGTGATGGAGTTGGTGTGATCTGCCTTCGGAGATCAGGATTTTGGTGATCCCCCGACTCCTGCCCACCAGTGTTAAACACTCTTCCCTCTTTATCCTTCTTTCCTTTATATATTTTCTTCTTTCAAGTTCAGCAAATGTAGTGGATCTGATTCAGTCATAGTGCATAAATAGGAAGAAATATGTGAGTTAATTATATGTAAATTTTGACTTGCCAGCCATGGGAAAAACATGAGGAATTCCACCAGCAGAACTGGCCTCCAGGATGGTCAACCCTGTGGAGAACAGTGTAAATGCTCAGTAGAAATTACTGATGATAACACAGTTGATTCTGGCATTTGTGGGCTGGTTCAGATTATACTACTTTTTTTCTCTTTATTTTATTGGTACATTTTACATCTACACAGTGATAACATTCATCATAGGGAATTTGTACCTGTACCCCGGTTCGATCCCCAGCTCCCCATGCCTTATCAGACCTGCCCTTAAGGCAGCTTGAGCCAGCTAAGTTAAATTCACCTCATATTGATTTAATTTACATATGTGTTTGTGCATGATATGTATGTTTTTTGATTTATGTTTTATATGGACCTTAAAATCATGGCTCAGTGTCTTTAGCGATGCCATCTTATGATAGAAACACTCTGTGAAGATCCTGTGGCACAGGTGTGCAGTATTTACTCTTGATATGTACACAGCAATCCTGCTGTATGGAAAAAGCCTGTAATTAGGGATTTCTAGGTAAGCCCTGGCCATTCAGCTGCTTTGCCATAAGCTAATTGTACTGCTGTCCCCATAAATCAGGGGGCATGATAAAATCTGTTTAAACCGTGGGTAGGAGGCATGTGGTGCACACCTGCCATCTCAGCACTTGGGAGCCTGAGCAGGAGGATCGCCACAAGTTCAGGACCAGCCTGTGCTATAAAGTGAGTTCAAGGCCAACCTTGAACTGCATTGTGAAACCCTGTCTCAAAAAGACAAAAAAAGAAAAAAGCCATGGGTAATTGGTGAGAAAGCCCAAAGCCCAATATTAAAATGCACTAAAAAATAATTGAGAAGTGGAATTGTGAGCTCCTTGCATGCTTTCTCCCTATAGACAAATTTTGGTAAGAAGCCCTGTAATTGGTAGAAGTTAGCTTGGAAAGCCTGGAATGGGTGGTTGCTAGGAGACCTGGGAGGTGTGAAGACCAGTTAGCTTGCTATTGGAGTAGTTTGGAAGCAAGGTAATGGAAGGCTGAACTGTTACCAAGGTAATGATACCCTTCAAAATGGAAAGGAGAAAACAGTCTGATAACATTTTAGAGATGGAATAGAGTTTTGCAGTCATTTGTACCAAAAATGAGGAAGGTAGAATCTGAGATAAATATGACTTAGCAAGTTTGGCAAACAGTGCTTTCTCCTATAAATCCCCCTTGTTTTCATTACTTGGTGATCTGTGTATATCTGTGTTTGATGACATGACTCCCAATTAAGAGCCTACTGTGTATATCCAATTACATCCACAGTGGCCCTATTTCCAAATAAGGTCAGTGTGAGATTTCAGGGGGGACATGAGTTTTGGGGGGACACCAACAGAAAGCTAGACTTAGAAATCTGGGATTCTTTTGCACTGTATGGATGTGAAATACTTAGAGGAATATGATCTCATTGATGAAGTACAGACAGACTATTACAGGACAAATGAGAGAAAACAGGCTCTATGAAAACAGACACAGGGCTGGGGAGATAGCTCAGTAGAATAAGTGCTTGCCTGGCAAGTACAAGGTCCTGAGTTCAATCCCTGGTACCGCCCAAAAAAAAAAAAAATAGACACAGATAGGGAGGCTATGGGAAGTATGAGCTGAAGTACAGTAATAAAGGTGGAACTTTATCCCGACCTTAGAGGGTAGGGCTCGTTAGATATGCAGAGCTAGGCAGAAACCCTTAGGAGCAGGGAGCTAATAGCTCATGAAGAATTGATGACCTGTTTGGAAACTAATTAGAGTGGAGCAGAAAGTTGGGTAGAGTGGGTATTGGCCGGGTGTGGGGAACAGCTTGACTGTATTAAGCAAAACAAATCCCTCCTGTTACAGGAAAATTCAGCTTATGCAAATGTAGAAGTACAATGAACCTGAGTATTCATCATTAAATTTCAGTAGATATTCTTTTTTGCTATAAATCCTCTTCTCTCTGTCCCTTATTTTGCAGCAAATCTCAGAAAATTTTAGATTGTGCTTTTGAATTGCTCTTTTGAGATAGGATACCCAGGCTGGCCTCAAACTCATTATTGTCCTCCTGCCTCAGTTTCCCAAGTCACCACATTAGCAGACCATGCAATTTTGACTAGCCTACGTGACAGAAAAGAAACATTGAGTGTTTCTCAGCAGGGAGCAGACATGATCAAAAGAAACTGGGAGATGTTAAGGTTTTATTAGGAAGGCAATAAAAAGTAAAAGAGGCAAGCATTTAGAACAGTGGTGGCGAACGTGTGCCATGTATACTGGCTGTTTGTACCATTGAAAGCTCCAGAAGTTTAGCCATTGTTGGATCATTCTCATCTTTTGTTCTTTCTTTTAAAGGTGTGCAGGATTTTTATTCCAGAAAGTTGGAAAACTTGCAGCAACAGCAGTAGGTGGTGGCTTTCTTCTCCTACAGGTATGGCCAAGCGTTCTAACTCAGCTTGCTTCATCGGCAGCCCCTCGGGGCTGAGAAGGTCACGTTAGCCATTTCACTCCAGTCTATTTTAAGAGAAGGTAGAATTTTACTTTCAGGGGTAATTGATTTTGAAAGCTGGCATCTATCATGGCAAGACCACACGTTAAATTCTCTAAGCATAGCTTGATTATTAAAGTAACTATTAAAATCAGAAATTCAAATGAGCCAGGTGTGGAGCTGGGTGTGGTGGGGCACACCTGTTACCCCAGCATTCTGAGAGGCTGAGGCAGGAAGATTGCAAGTCTGAGCCTCCCCTGAGCAATTTAGTGACTTAGCAAGACCCTGTCTAAAATTAAGAAAAATAAAAAGAGGAACTGCAGTTGAGGGTAAAGGCCCTAGGTTCAATCCCCAGTACTACTAAAAAAGAAACTAGAGGGAGAAAGAGCACATGTAGAAAGAATTAAGATGTATCGTGTGCGTATATTACCTCTCCATGATCAATGTAATCATTGTGTATTGCAAACATGCACTAATAAAAAACATTTAGAAGCAAAAGAAGAACCCCAGGCATGGTAACACAAAGGGCTGAGGATATAGCTCAGTGGGAAGGCCCTTAATTTGATCTCCAGTACTGAGATGATAGATAGGTAGATAGATAAGACAGACAGAATTAAAATTTTATTTTTGATTATTTGCCAAAATTTTTGTTTTTTAAAAAAATGTATTTTGTACAGGGTCTCACTATGCAGCTCAGACTCGTAGTGATCCTCCTGTTTTCAGCCTCCCCAGTCCTGGGATTATAGGTGTGTGCTACCACACCCGGTCAGGGGTAGGGCCCGCATGGCATGTGGTGTCAGGAATCAAACCCCTGTCCCTGCCCTTGCCTAAGCAGGCACTTAGTCCACTGAGCTACCTCATCAGCCCCCAACTTTTTCTTGAACTGTCTCCCTGACAACATTTAAACCAATAGTGTAACCCACTTCACTCGCCCTGACCATTTAAAGCCTGTATTTAAAATTCACATATACTAGGGATGAAGGTGCACACCTGTGTTCCCAACACTCAAGAGGCTGAGGCAGGAGAATTGCTATGAGTTCTAGGCCACCCTGGGCTACATAATGAGTTCAAAGCTAGCCTAACTACATAACAAGACCCTGTCTCAAAAATAAACACAAAGGGCCAGCCAAATAGCTCAGTGGATTAAAGCACCTGCAAGCAGGCGCAGGGGCCGGGGGTTCGATCCCCGGGCCTGCCATGCCGTCCCCACTCCTGGGGCTCACTGAGACTGAATGAGACTGGGTGTGGTGGTCGTGCACCTGTAATCTGAGCTCTTGGGAGGCTGTAAACAGGCAGATCACTACGAGTCCTATCTAGTGGTGAGGCCCTGAACATTTTGTAGACCCTCCCCTAAAATACAAAAAAAAAAAAAGAATTCACATGCATATACAAAATTCAGAAGGTCTGTTTCTCTGTTGATAAAACTCAGGCTTCTGCATGCCCATTTCCTATTTACAGAGTTCTTCCTAGAGGACACTGCTATTAACAATCTCTAACCTTTCTGTAAAAATAAAGAACTATAATTTTGAAAGTGAAAAATTGGGTTTTTTGAAAAAAATCTATAATCTGGTCTTGAGGCAGGAGGATTAAACTTTTAACTTTGTTCATTTCCCCCTTAAGTATAAGGTCTCAAAATACCGGACCGTTAGAGGATGTTTATTGGGATATTATCTGATATTCATGTCTGTTTGGCATACATTGTTCCAGAATGTTCCCTGAAGATCAGATGCAATCCACAATCGTTAAAATTCATGGGAATGAATGTTAGCAACATTTTTAAAGACACTGAGAACAGTCATTTATACCAAATTTTACAAATAATGATATTTGCAGCAACAAGCCTGACTTGAGTAGCTAAACCACTGACCCTGTGATGACCAGGGGAGATGCCTGGAGTACAAGGGGATGGACGCTGATTTTGAGTTGGGTACTGAACACCCCTTTTAAAGACAGATATTTTCTTGTGATGATGTCATCGGGAGCACTTATTTCCTGTGGTAAAAAATGAAAAAGAATATAATTAATATCTAAATTTAGTCCTTTGGATGACTGTGCTAGTGCTTATAAGAAGAGAATTTTGCTTAAGCTGATTTTGACTTGGGTTTGTGATAGAATCAACAACATATTTCTCTAGCTATTTTGAAAACGCAGTTGTCAGTTCCGTTCAGTGCAAAAGGGTACTGGTCTGAAGTAGTTTCCGAAAATGCTCACAGAATACAGAGGAGAGTCTGTTTTCATCTGCTCTGCAGGTCAGGTTTCCAGAAGGCCCGTTTCAGCCCACTCAGTCAGTACACACCATTGAAACCCACACTTGGCCATTGCTGCCTCCTACTTGCCCCTGCCTGGCCCATGTGTTCTTTGAAGTCTCTGAGGCAGAACCCGGGACTTGTGTGTGTCAAGCTACCTTTTCCCGTAAGTCTTGGAACATTCAGGAAAAGGAAAGTGAAATAGAAAAATGTGTCGTGGCTGTTAAGCTGATTGCCTCTTATTCTGGCCCACTTCCATATTTTTATAACCTTTACTTATCTTTAAAGATAAATATTAGTTTATTTTCAATTTAAAGCTTTTCCAGTAATGTTGGAATATTTAATTACACTGCCATCTTAAAATAGTGGGACAGGTCCAGGTGCTTGGAGTCACAGCTAATTGGTCCCAACCAGTTACAGATTTCTTTGTTCCTTCTCCACTCCCACTGCTTCGCTTGGTTTATAAAACTGGACAATGGTTTTAAGTCTTTTGGTTTCTGTTTTCATTTTGAAGTCGTCCATGCACGTAATTCATAGGGTCAAATGCTTGCACAATGTTCCTTCCAGAATAGAGTAATCCTCTGCCTCTGTCCTTTCCTTTACACTTGAGACAGCCACTTTGAACTCTTAATTCTCTTTTTTCCCTAAGCAAGTTCATTGGGCTTTCTTGATCTTCCAATTTTAGATGGTAACTGTTGTTTTCCTGTTACAGAATATGAGAATTCAGTTAGCGTTTGTTGAGCTATTCTTCCCACACCTCTCCCCCGTCTCACCCATCTGAATGCTCTGCTCACAAGCATTGGTATTTCGTAATTGTGTGAGGTCTTTCCATTCACTGAATTCTGTATATAGGAGAGGTGGGGGGTGGTACTTGCTGTTGAACCTCGGGCCTTCACCCTGAGCTATATCGCAAGCCCTTTCATTTTGAGATAGAGTCTCAACCAAGTTGCTGTCTTACCCAGGCTCGGCTAAACTTGTGATCCTCCTGCCTCAGCTTTCTAGAGGGCTGGGATTAAAGCATGCACCCCTATGCTGGGCTCCCCGAGCTCCTTAAATCTCTGAATTTATGTCTTTGACCATGTTTGGAAGGTTTGGGCTACTGTTTCTAGTAGAAAGTTTGAGATTATTTCTTTAGAGAACTCCAAGTTGTCTAAATCACTTTGTGGCCCTTGGCATCAGATAGTATATCACTTTAATCATCTGGACAGACTCGTCCCAGAGTCCTTTCCTGCTGGTCTGGTACAGGGCTCACACGCTAGGATCCTCCTGTGCCAGTCTGATCTTCCCTTTGCCTCTCTCTTGAGTTGGTTCCTATACCTCATATCTTCTTGATCTCTTCTCTTGTTTTGATATGATGTATCCTCTAGTCACTTCTGAACAAAATGAGCATGAGTCATACAATTTTTGAGATTACTTGTCTGAAAATGTGTTTGCCTTTCACATTTAACTAATAGTTTGGCTGGGTTTCACTATTGCTTTATTGTCATCTGACTTCCCAGTGTTGCTTTTAAAAATCGAAACTAATTCTGACTTTTCAGCCTTTGTATGTGTTGTTTGTTTTTGTTTTGTTTTTATTTTGCTTATTTATTTATTGGTTCTGGGGACCAAACCCAGGGCCTTGGCACATGTTAAGCAAGATTACCTCTAATCTACACCCCCAGCCTCGATTTGTTTTTAAAGCTCTTGTTACATAGTCTGTTTCTCTCTCTCTCTCTCTCTCTCTCTCTCTCTCTCTCTCTCTCTCTCTCTCTCTCTCTCTCTCTCTCTCTCTCTCTCTCTCTCTCTCTCTCTCTCTCTCTCTCTCTCTCTCTCTCTGTCTGTCTCTGTCTCTGTCTCTCTCTCTCTCTCTCTCTCTCTCTCTCTCTCTCTCTAGACAGACAGACAGACAGACAGACAGACAGACACACAAAGACGTAGATAGAAACCTGCAGATGTAGCTAGTCTCCGGTGTTTGCTCTAAAGGCTTTCCTCTATACCTGATGGTCTTTGATTGTCTGTTCATATTTCAGAATTAGGTGCTAAAAACTGGTGGAAAACTCTAAATGTGTGATGGGATTTTCCATTCTCTGGGAATTCTGACCAAATCCAAGAAAAATGATCTAATGATTTGTTGTTGGGAGTGGGGAATTTTCCCAATGAAACAGCCCAGTTAGATTCCATCTGCCTATTTATAGCTTTTAAGCAGATATGAATCATTGCGTGAAAGCCTGGCCTTAATTTTTAACTTGGAACTTTTTACGCTGATGAAGACTACCTAATTTCATTGAGAATTTTAGTGTTGTATCAGAGTCACTGCTTAAAAAGCAGTCATTGCAGCCCTATGTCCTTCCCATTCCATTGGTTTGTTTTTCCCTGGAATTACTCAGATGAATTGTGTCCTGTGTCATCAGCTGTTGCTCTTGTGGCACTGAGCATAGAACTGGGGCTGTGGAGCATGCCAGGCAAATGTGCTACCTACCGCTGAGCTATATACTTCAGCCCAGTAAAAGGTGAAAGATTTATACTATCTAAAGAGAAACTAGATTAGTGCCAGCTCTTTTTAAAAAAATTTATGTCAGACAGGGTCTCATTGAGTTACCCAACTGTCCTCAAACTTGCACTCCTCCTGCCTCAGCCTCCCAAGCAGCCAGAATTACAGGTGTGTGCCATCCTGTATGGCCATTTCTTAGGAGGTACTTGGCACTTAGCTTGGCTGTGCCTGAATCCCACTAGGAAGAGATTACTTGACCTGGTCATCTCTGTGCTCAGCCTGCTGCTCAGCCTGGGCTGGTGTCCTTCGGTTTGATCGGATTTGCCTCCGCAGGAAAATAGCAGTGAACTTTTCAAAGAAATTTGTTGAGTGGTATTGTGTCAGATGGGCCTCCGAGATCATTCGCTCACCAGTACACATGATAGGTCCTGTGAGTTAATCCTCCTGGGTACTTGGTTAAAGTCTTATTTGAGCCAGGTTGGATGTTTCATTCATCCATTTACCTCACATTTTGAAAGACTCTTGGGATGTAGAGACTCACAGGCATGAGCAGAGATAGGTAATCGGCAAATACCTTTACCCATCTGATCAGTCCTGAGCTGGAAGCGTGTGTGTGGTGCTGAGAGGGCAGAGGGGAGGTCCCAGAGGCTGCTGAGAAGTGAGGAGGAAGGAGGGCCAGGGAGATACTCATGTCCGCAGCACCTCAAGGTTTTTCATTTTCCCTGCAAACTCTTTGATATTTTACACTAAAGCATAGAAGAGTCTTAAAGTACAAGATCTTATGTGGGAGATTGAGGCAGGAGGATGACAAATTCAAGCCTGCCCGCCGCCCCCCCCCCCCCGGGCAGCTTAGTGACTTAACAAGATCCTATCTCAAAATGAAAAATATTTTAAAAGGAGTTGGGGATGTAGCTGATCGTGAAGACCCTGAGTCCAACCAACCCCCAAGACCACAAAAGAAAAAAATCATAGGGAGTTGGGATTACTTCAGTGGGAGAACACTGCTGGGTTCCGTCCCCGGTGCCACATACAGAAATCAGTGAGAAGAAATTCTACAAAAACTTTATCCCAGGTAACTCTGGATTTATTAATTTTGGGTGACAAATGGCTATGTAGAAATATTTTTTAAGCCAAGCCTGGTGTTGCACACCTGTAATCCGAGCACTGAGGAGGCTGAGGCAGGAGGATTATAGTGAGTATGAGGCCAGCCTGAGATGCGTCAATCAAGGCCAACCTAGATTACATAATGCGACCCTGTTTCAAACAAATAATTTTGAAAGTTTATTGCATATTGTATATAAAATAATCTGTAGGCAATTGTTTCATCTGCCTGGTGGCATCTTTTATTTGTTTTCTGGGGATTAGAAGGGTAGATAAGTGGTCAACCTAGGAATACAGATACGGTTTTTAGTTATTCCATCACTAGTATAACTCACGGTACAAAGAGGAACTTTTTAGAAAAACTTCAGGATTTAAAATGTTAAGTCTTGGGCCAGGGAGCTAGGTTAGCAGCGTAGCGCCTGCCTGGCAAGTGCAAGTCCTGAGAGTGATCCCTGGTACCAAAAAATAAAAAGTAAAAATCAAATAAAATGTTAAGTTTCAAAAACGACAGTTGAATTAGGGATTGCCAATGAGCGGTAGCATAGAGATTTTTGGGTTGTTCTAACCAAAGAAAAAAAGCATGTATATACATACAATCTTGACTTTTCATAAGCTTTGGATTGACTGAAAAGACATACAGTCAGCAAAGTGTGAAGTTCTGCCAAAGCATCAAAATAATGGCCAAGTCGATTACGTAATACAAGTGCATCAGAAGTCTTTTCAATGTGTAGGTAGAAAAGGGCCCTTTCCCTACGGTTCGTTATCAGCTCAACGCCTGTGGTCCAAAGTGCTGCGTCAGGTACTAGGAGAAAAAGCTTTTCACTTGCCTTTTGATCACCTCTTGATTTTGCTGAGACTGGAGTTTGGGGAATAATAAGTAAATAAGTACAGGAAGAAAGGCAGTAAACAAATTATGCTGTGGAATTATTCACACAGAAACAGAACCTAAGATTTCCAGTAAACTTACTTATGTAAAAGCAGATTTTGTTTTGAGACAGGGCCTTGCTGAGTTGCCCCTGTTGGACTCCAGCTTGCGGTGGTCCTGCCTCAGCCTCCCAGTGCTCTGGGACTGCAGCATGCTCCACTACCGCACCCGCTTCTGATTTTATTATTTGAAGGCACTAATTTAACGTGCTGGCTTACATTCACTGTATTCGATCTCCATATTTTGCAGTGTCTCAGTAGCATCACGTAACAGTTTTGCTTAGGATTAGCAAGCATTTAGCAGTGGTTTCATTGAAAGGATTTATGGTGTAAAACTTGTATAGAGCATATTTTATATTGTACTTTCCAAAGTAATTACCACAAAGTATTCTCAGTTTAATTAAAGCGGCACAGTTCAGCAGGGCACAGTGGTGCTCACCTGTAATTCTGAAAGCTGAGGCAGGAGGATCAGAACTTTGAGGCCAGCCTGGACATCTTCGCAAGACCCTGTCTCAAATAAAAGGGACTGGGGAGATAGCTCAGTGGCATAAGAGCCTGCTTAGCAAGCACAAGGTCTGGAATTCAATCCCAGGTACCGCAAAAAAAGCGGGGGGGGGGGGGGGTTTGTGGGGCGGCAGGGGAGGGTTAAGGCTGTGGGGTGAGGGGCAGTGGATATAGCACAGTGGTAGAGTGCTGCCTGTTGTGCTTGAGGCCCCTGCTGCCATCCCCAGCACTGCAGAAGGTTTAGTAAAAGATTTTTTTTTTTTTTTTTTTTTTTTTGCGGGACCAGGGATCGAACTCAGGACCCTGCACTTGCCAGGCAAGCGTTTATTTTACTGAGCTATCTCCCCGGCCCCAGTAAAGGATCTTTATTAGGATATTTTAGATTCTTTTTTATTTTTTCCTTGTGGTACTAGGGATTGAACCCTGGACCTTCATTCATATCAGACTACATCTCCTGCCCTTTTTTTTTTTTATTTTGAGACCATCTCACTGGGTTGCCTGGGCCGGGCTAGAATTTGTGATCCTCCTGCCTCAGCCTCCCAGAGTGCCAGGATTATTGATGTGTGCCACCATGCCTGGCTGCTGAGAGACTGAGATTTCTTTTGTGATGGAGCAACTGCTTGGCTTCTGATCCTTAATCATTACACATCTGTTGGATTAAAAGACACATCTTATTAGCAAATTATACATCGTATAATTTGAATATTTGGATAATGTCTATTCCCTGACTGAGCCAGAGCTGGGAGAGAGGTGGGGGGCTCACGCGTCTCTTCTTCAGTGGCTGGCACAGTATGCTTCATAATAAATTGGTGAATAAGTTTCTTATGAATTGCGTGGATTTCGTGAAATTTAAATGTGTATACAATCCTGAACCGTATGAAGAGCCATTTTTATTGCATTTTTACAGATTGCCAGTCACAGTGGCTATGTTCAGATTGACTGGAAGAGAGTTGAAAAAGATGTAAACAAGGCAAAAAGACAAATTAAGAAACGAGCAAATAAAGCAGCACCTGAAATCAACAACGTGATCGAAGAAGTAAGGCAGCATGGGTTGGGCTTCTTTTCTGTTACCTATTCTCAGTAGAAAATGGGTCTAGGGGTTACCTTTTTAAAAAACAGTGTTTTTGACGTGTATTTATTTATTTATTTTTGTGGAACCGGGGATTAAACTCAGGCCCTTGCGCTTGCCAGGCAAGCACTTATTCTACTGAGCCATCTCCCCGGCCCCATTAACATGCATTTATTTAGAACGTTAGGTAAGAATGATTAAACCAGCATTGAAATCAGTCATCTGGTTTGGGTGGTAGACACAGGCCCGCATGTTTCTCCCGCCCGTTTTCATCTGCCAGTAACATTATTCTTCCAAAACTTTTTCTTTTGGCATTTATAAATGTAGAATATATACATTAGACAGACTGAAGGTGCTCCTTTTTCTTGAGATGTAGTAGTTTGCAAATCTTAATGTGGTATATCTTAGTAATACTTTGTGTCGGGTTCTTTTTTTTGTCTTTGCTTTTCTATGCTTTTGCCTCTTCCAGCTTTTTGTTTTGAGATTTCCTTCTTTCTTTTGAGACATGATCTCACTTTGTAGCTCAGGCTGGCCTCAAACTCACAACAATCCTCCTGCCTCAGCCTCCTGAGAGCTGGGATTACAGGGATATGCCACCACACCCAGCTTATATTGAAAATTTTTAAGTGAACGAAAGAGTTGAAAGACAAAATTGAAATCTAGTCATCCTTCGCCTTTTACCAAATTCTTCACATTTTGGTACATTTGTTTTATCTGTATGTAGATGAGATTTATAACCTTTCTTCTTTCTTTTTTGCCAAATATTGTGTGCCATGCCCTCGCCCCTAAAAAATTCTATGTCCTAACAGTATAGCTATTCTATAGAACTACAAATAGCATTATTGATCCAAAAATATAACATAATGCAATATTTTCTAGTAAGGAGTTCATATTATAATTTTTCAGTACAGACCAGTTGTGATGGTGCACACCTGTAATCCCAGCACTCAGGAAGCTGAGGCAGGAGGATCACCACAAGTTCAAGGCTAGCCTGGGCTACAAAGTGAATTCAAGGCCAGCCTGAACTGCATAGTCAGACCCTATCTC